CTGTCAAAGTGAATAATTTAGGATTCAGACCAGGTGGCCTAGACTCAGGGCCTCTGAAAGAAGAGGAAGCAGCTGGAGCTGCTCCGTCAACATGCCCCCGGAGAGGAAACACAAATATCTTCCTGGGGCCTAAAAGTGATCAATCACCACTGATTCCTGAAACCAATCTTAAATATCATTCAACGTGACACAGAGCCTATATGCCTCATAATTAACACAACTACAACACACTACTTGAAATTACATAAAAACAGCCCTTACCCACGGAGACAAGGTGGCTGTAGTTCTCCAGCATCACGTCCCTGTACAGGGACCTCTGACTTGAGTCCAGGCACTGCCAATCCTCCTGGGTGAAGCCCACAGTCACATCCTTAAATGATACTGATCCCTGTGATGTCTGTTTAATCTGAAATGTTCAGAATTGGGTGACATGGAAAAAGCTGTATGGGAACCAATCCTTCTCATGATTACCAAAATAGTTTGCAGAGGGTTTGTTTGGCTTTCGGCTTTGAGGGAAGACGAGAAATCTAACAAAATTATTATGCCATTGCTTCAAGGTATTAATGTAAAAAATGGTCAAATCCCACAATATATCTGGAACTATTCCAATTCTGAGAAATGCTATGCTTAATGAAAATATTCTTGCATTCAAGTAACAAAAATTCTGATAAGAAAACATGCAGTAACAGGTTACAATTGCTAAGGTGAAGTATGCACAAGACAGACTAAAATAAATGAGCAGCAAAATTAGTTCCCTTTTGAGCCTTGCTGAAGAATGACTGATGGATAACAGTAAGCTGGTGCTCTCATGAACATGGGGCCGTGGTACAAGGTGCAAGCAAAAGTGGGGCTCCTCTAACATGTTTGGGAAATGAGAAGAGAGCAAACAACAGAGGAAAAGTTGAGAATCCAGCCCAGATCTGTGATGACAGAAAGGGCCACAACGGAATTCATGGAATGGATCACAGAGTAATTTTAGACCAAGACCCAAAGTGTGTGAACACTTTCTACCTTAAAGAATATTTTTGAGTGCTACGGAAGTTTATATTTATGAATTACAGAAATAAACTATCAATACATTTTGTTAGAAACTTTCATTCTCCATTTTATTTAAGTTTTTTTAATGTTATATTTCTCAGGGGGAGAGAGAGAGAGAGAGAGAGAGACAGCGTGAGCAGAGGAGGGTCAGAGAGAGAGGAAGACAGAATCTGAAACAGGCTCCAGGCTCTGAGCTAGCTGTCAGCACAAAGCCCGACGCGGGGCTCGAACCCACGAACCGCGAGATCATGACCTGAGCCGAAGTGGATGCTTAACTGACTGAGCCACCCAGGCGCCCCTTTATTTTCCATTTTAAAAAGTAAAAGCCTAAGGGCACCTGGGTGGCTCAGTCTGTTAAGCGTCCAACTTTGGCTCAGGTCATGATCTTCTGGTTCAGAGGTTGGAGCCCCGCATTGGGCTCTGTACTGACAGCATGGAGCCTGCCTCGGATTCTGTGTCTCCTTCTCTTCCTGCTCCTCCCACATTCATGTTCTCTCTCTCTCTCAAAAATAAATAAACATTAAAAAATTTTTAAAAACATGTAACAGAGGTGTTTCTATCCGTTGATGCAGTGACACATTGTGAGTATAAAGGCTGAAGTTCCTAACATATCTGAAGTGGGAGAGTACACTGAGACCTAAGAGAAGTTTAAGAAGAAGTGAGCTGGAGCAAGATGATAAAATCAGCAGCACACAAAGATCTTCCTGAGTCTATTTCCAAAACCAGTAGGCACCTAATGAACCACTGAGAAGACTTCCAGTACCATTTCTAGCAATCAGTTCTCACATGTCAAGTAGCAAACTGCCAGAAGACGCAACTTCCAGTGGACTTGGACTCAAGAGATCTCAAATCTGTCCCCTTCCTAAACTGCATATTCTTCAAACGAACTATTCTATATAGATCCCGAATGTAAATCCTTATTAGCATGTACTATCAGTATCAGTACCTACAGCATAAAGGGGTTGAGGACTGCGTTAGCTACCAGAAAAGTTAGTTAACATAGTACCCTGGCACATGAATAGAATTCCCCAATGAAGAGATATATTTGATTCCAAACAATTCATGATATACCAGCTCTGTCCTTGAATGAAACTGTTTCAAGAAATTGTTTTAGATTTATTTGTTTTGAGAGAAAGAAGAGCACGAGTAGAGGAGGGACAGAGAGAAAGGGGGAAAGAGGATCCCAAGCAGGCTCCACGCTGTTAGTGTGAAGCCCAAAGTAGGATTCGATCTCAGGAACTGTGAGATCATGACCTAAGCTGAAATGAAGAGTAGAATGCTAAACCAACTGAGCCACCAGGTGCCTCATGAAACTGTTTAAAAAATCATTATTAAAAATATTCTTCATTAAGGAAAACAAAATACTTCAGATGACCTCCACAAAATACAGGATAGCAGAAGATGACTGAAATAAATGTAAAGGTCAAATTACAGTAATAATAAAAGTCTGTCTATATGTTGCAAGAAAATTTAAACTATAACCACAATTTAAATTTAAATGATAATATTAGAATAAAAAATACTGAACCACTCTAGAAGGAGTAAACTTTAAAAGTGTATCATCAGGGGCACCTGGGTGGCTCAGTCAGTTAAGTGTCCGACTTCAGCTCAGGTCATGATCTCACAGTTCGTGGTTCGAGCCCTCCTTCGGGCTCTGTGCTGACAACTAGCTCAGAGCCTGGAGCCTGTTTCAAATTCTATATCTGCCTCTATCTCTGACCCTCCCCTGCTCATGCGGTCTCTCTCTCTCTCAGAAATAAATAAAACATAAAAAAAAATTTTTAATAAATAAATAAAATAAAAGTGTATCATCAAAGGTCACTTGATTAATCGTACCACTGACAAAATATTTGCTTTGCCTCCCCAGTACGTCCTGGCCCCTACAGGCGCATTACAACTCCTGCCCACTGACATCAAGCTGGGCCACATGACTTAGTCAATGAAAAGTGCTACAAGGAAAACTTGAGGCACAAGTTTTCAGAGCCATCATCTTTCATCCTTGGCCCCACAATGAATAGTACATGGAGCAGAGCCACATCTTAGCCTTAAGATCACAGACATAAGCAAAAAATAAATTTGGGAATCCTACGTTATAAGACCATTGTTTTCTAAATGGACTGATTCAGTGCTGAAAAAAAAAAAAATCCAGTAACACACAAATGAACAACCTACAGAAGTCACTTTCAGGCAACACACTTGAGCAATCAAAGCTTGAGCAAGGCAAAAGGACCCACAGGACCACAACCATTGACCACCAAGCTGATGTGAACAGGCACATTCAGCCATGGGTCCTAACTGACCAATGGGCTGCTCACGGCAGGCATAGTTCCCAAGATTACCAAAAAAGGGAAAAGTTATATTTTTCCTAGTAGCAGACGGTCTCTCCTTTGCCATCCTGCCCACTGTCCCCTTGCAGGGTATTAAGTAATCTTCTATCTCCTTTGTTCAGTCTTAAGTGGATTCTTCACCGGCCCCACCGCCGGCCCCCACTCCATCAGGGTATCCCACACAACCAAGGAAAAGTATAGTGAATAAATACTTTGTCAGATGGAGGGACTAAAGCCAAACAAGAACAAATATAAATGGGTTACATCACCTAACACAAAACACAATAATGTTATTTTAGGCTTGTAAATCTTGTCTTTTTTTTTAACCAGAAAAGAAAAATCGTGAAGAAAACAAAACAGGATCCCCACTGTAGAGAGTAATGTCAAAATCACATGAATTTCTTTTAATGCCCTCCAGAGTTCTAGGAGTTCCTCCTTATAAAGAGCGATGACTCATTCTTAGAATCCTCACCAATTGGCATACATTAGGACACATACTAACTAGTCATAAATGGTTGATGAATGTATGAAGCCCTAATTAAGGTACATTACAGGGAATGCCAAATGCAGTGAAAGGAAGACTTATTTCAGCGATAAAAACAGTTGCAGTCAAATGGAACAGAAGAGAGACCCCGGAGTAAAGCCACGAGTATATGGTCGACACAATGGGGAAAGATAGTCTCTTCGGTAAATGGTGGTGGGAAAACAGGATAACCTACATGCAAAAAAAGAAGCCATACCCCTACCTTACACACTCATACAAATTAACTTGAAATAATCAGACTTAAACATAAGAACTGACAACATACAATTTCTAGAAGAAAACACAGGGGAGAAGCTCAACATTGTTCTTTGCAATGATGTTTTTTTGGATAAGATGCCAAAAGTAAGGCAACAAAAGCTCATACAAGTAATGGCTTCACTGAACTTCAGTGCTCTAAACAGCAAATAGTCCATAAATTCAAAAGTCCATAAATTCCTACAGAATAGGAAAAAATATTAACAAATCATGTATCTTATAATAGGTTAATATCCAAAATATAGATTCATACAACTCGAAACCAAAAAAGCAAATAATCCAATTAATGCGAGCAAAGGACCTGAACAGATATTTTCCCAAAGACATACAAATGGCTAATAGGTACATGCAAAGGTGCTCAATATCATGAATCACCAAGGAAATGCAAATCAAAACCACAATATCACTTTCACACCTCTTAGAATGCTATTATTAAAAAGACAAGAGATAACAAATGGCAAGAATGTGGCATAAAGGGAACTTTTGTTCACTGCTGGTGAGAATGTAAACTGGTGCCACCTCCTTGGAAAACACTATGGTGGTCCCTCAAAATATTAAAAATGAAACTACCATATGATTCAGCAAGCCCACTTCTAGGTACAAACCCACAAGAAATGTAATCAAAACAGAAAAAGACACCTGTAATCCCCTATTTGCTGCAACAATATTCATAATAGCTGAGGCAAGACACAGCCTAAGTGTCCATCAACAGAGGAAAGAGATAAAGAACACACACACACACAATGGAATACTATTCAACCATAAAAACAAAGGAAATCTGTGACAATATGGACAGACCCTGAGGGCATTATGCTAAATGAAGTAAGTCAGAGAGAAAACAAATACCATATAGTATAACTTAGCATATGTAAGTAGAATCTCAAAAAAAAAAAAAAAAAGCCAGTTTCATAAAAACAGAATATAAAATGAAGATTGTAAGAGGCTGGGAAGAGGAAGAAAAAATGGGATGTAAACCAGGGTCTTGAGTTCGAGCCCCACACTGAGTGCAGAACTTACTTAACAATTAAGAAAGAAAGGAAGGGAGGGAAACAAACTAACTCTAGGTAAAGATGTCCCTATATATGAATGAATACATTAGAAAGAAGTAGAAACAAAATAAAACACAATCTTAGAAAGAAAGCAGGAGGAAATACTGAAGAATTCTTGTTATGAATTCAACATATCTTTGACACTAAATACTAAATCCTAACAAAAACATACCCCCCAACCCCCAAAAAGACTTACTGGTCAATCTCTCTTGGGCACAGATATATAATTCCAAAACAAAATATTATCATGCCCCAGTTAGGTTTATTTCAGAAATATCTCATTAGTTGTACATTTAAAATTAATGTAGTTAATTTAACATTAAATCTTATTGCATTAAATTTAATGTAATTTACTAAGAAAATGAAGGAGACAAATCATATGATTTCACTAGATGTCCAAAACCATTTAATAAAATTTAATAGACACTCATGAAAAAAAGAAAAGTTTTAGATAACTAGGAATAGAACTGAACATCTTTGATGTCTTTAAGAAATGTGGGACACCTGGGTGGCTCAGTTGGTTAAGCGAGCTGACTTCGGCTCAGATCCTGATCTCACGGTTGGTGGGTTCGAGCCCCACATTGGACTCTGTGCTGACAGCTCAGAGCCTGGAGCCTGCTTCAGATTCTGTATCTCCTTCTCTCTCTGACCCTCCCCTGCTCACACTCTCTCCCTCTCTCTCTCAGAAATAAATAAAAAACATTAAAATTTTTTTAAAAAAAGAAATGCAAATAAATACAGCAAAAATCCATAGTGAAAGGAATCTTCCCCCTACTCTTGCTTCTATTTAATATTACATACTGGAGGACCTAAGAGGGCAATAAAGAAAAAAAAGGTTTAAAAACTGGAAAAAGTAAATAGTGTCACTATTCCCAAATTATACATAAAAATCCAAATTTTTGGACGTAAAGATAAACCATTAGATGTAGTAAATTAGTATAGAAAACTTGTATATAAGGTCAATATATAAAAAATAACATGCCAGCAATAAGCAATTAAAAAGTGCAAATGAAAATATATTTACATATTAATATTTAATACTGGGTGCCTCAGTCATCTGACTCTTGATTTCTGCTGTCGTCATGACCCAAGGGTCGTGAGATCCAGGCTCATGTCAGGCTCTGTCCTGAGTGTTAATTCTGCTTAATATTCTCTCTCCCCCTCTCCTTTTACCCTCCCCCCAGCACTCACGCGCTCGCTCGCGCTCGCTCTCGCGCGCTCCTCTCTCTCTCTCTCTAGGGGAGAGGGGATAGATACATGTATATTAATAAAACCACTAACCACACAGAAATAATTCTAACAATGGGTCTGTAAGGTTTCCACCCAAAAACTCTTGAAATTACTAAACTCTTATATACCATAAATTTATGACAGTTGTACAAACTCAATAATCAGACCCATGGAAATTAAACAATAAAGTTTTTCAGTCTTTAATGTAGAAATACTCTTTATATCTGAAGAGGAAGGAGAAAAAGTAGTCTTCTAATGAATAACAATTTACCTAGAAAAATTAGAAATTCTCATATATTGTAACTCAAAAATATTAATCGCTGGACATTGGAGCAGTGATTCTTAAGCTTAATGTGTTATCACCATCACACAGACATCCTCTTAAAAACACAGAATGCTGGGCCTCACCTCCAAAAGTTCTCTTCCAGCAGGTTTGGGATGGTGGACCACAATCTGCATTTCAAACAAGTTTCGAGATGATGCTGCCATTTCTGGCCAAAGATCCTCACCAATGCTCCAGAGTCTGGAGATACATGTGCATTTATCAGAGAATGTCAAGGATATTCACAGCAGTATTTATATGAATGGAAAATGGAAATTACCTAAATGTCTATCAATAAAATAGAGTATTTAGGATACAGTGTGGCCATACGGTGGGAAAATCAAACATTAACAGAAACAAACTACAGAGTAGTGCCCAGGTGGTGAAGCATCTAACTCTTGATTTCAGCTCAGGTCATGATCTCACAATCATGAGATTGAGCTTCGCACTGAGTGTACAGCCTGATTAAGATTCTCTCTCTCTCTCTTTTTAAATTACAAAAAAAGGAAAAAAAAGAAAGAAATTACATATGGAGAGATCTCAAATTACTAGTCAACCAAGAGGAGAAAATGTCTGTCAATTATACATTAAAAAAAACTACATATTTTTAGAAGTACTCAAAATAATAAACAGTATTCAACTATTTTTCCAGCATACACGTAGAGATAAATGCTAAGACCAGTAGACAAAGGATGAAAACTTGGAACTGAACGATGGGATACAATGAGGAAGGCTACAGGAAGGAGTCATCAGAAGAGACAGACTCTCCAGAAGAGAGTGGTCAGTAGAGTAATTATAATTAAATCACTAGCAATCTTTACCTGGACAGATCCCAAAAGGTAGAGGAGAAAAACCAAGACAGAAATCTATGGGATGTGTCTGACTGAGAAGCTCAGGCAGATTTACCAGAGAATTTAACTTTAAACAATCTACTATACCACCCACATACACAACCAGGCTAACGTACTTACAGAGAGTTTTTGTTAACAGGCACGCAGGCCATTCATTCTTCTAAACCTATCAGGTTTTTTTGTTTTTTAATGTTATTTTTTAATGTTTATTTATTTTTAATAGAGAGAGAAAGAATGTGAGTGGGGGAGGGGGAGAGAGAGAGAGGTAGGGGGGAGACACAGAATCTGAAACAAGGTCTGGGCTCTGAGCTGTCAGCACTAGGCCCAATGCAGGGTTCAAACTCATGAATTATGAGATCATGACCTGAGCCAACCTCAGATGCTCAGCCATCTGAGCCACCCAGGCGCCCCTAAACGTATCAGGTTTTATACCAGGATGGAACAAGACCATCATTAAATTAACTATATGAACTCTCTCTTGGGCCCTTTTACTCTTAGTGAGGAAGAGTTTTAGGCACTCATTTCAGGGCTGTCACAGGAAAGTTATTCACTAAGTGTCCCTACATTAAGATCCAAAAAGAGGCCATCCAAGACTTTGTGTCTTGAGAAAAAGCTGTCTGTATCCAAAAGACTGTGTCTTCCTTTCTCCACAGTTATCAGAAACAATAGGATGTTGTGGGTCAGCTCAGAAACTCTAAGATAGGGAATGATCAGTATGTATCCACAAGCCGCCTACAAATCTCACCAAGTCCACTGCAAAATAAAGTGGGGAACGAACAACTTACCTGGGATTTGCTCATTTTCTGCTGTCTTGGAAAAGTGTAGACAAGTCTGGTGATGTGCTGGGTCACAAGAGGAACGACGTCCTAAAAGAGCTGGCCAGCCTGGAGGCTCCCGAATTCTCCAGCCCTATAAAACTACACATGCCCAATAAGACAGGAAGAATGTCAGTGCCTCTGACCTTCCCAAAGGACAGCACACGAACAGACAGCACCATCTGCAGGACTCTAACCCAACCAGGTAGTAGCTGCTTGGCTGGAACGTTTCCACTGGGTAACTGTCAATATTTGTTTCCTGGGGTTTTTTCACAGTTTAAGCCTCTCTTGAGGCTCACAAAACATTTTTAAACTAAAAACGATGGTTTACATAAAACAATACACTCAGTGAAGTAACATTAGCTCTTCACCAAAACTGCTGTAAAAAATATGCCGGACCTGGGACACCTGGGCGGCTCAGTCTTGCTTCAGGTCACATCTCAGAGTTCGTGGGATCAAGCCCCACATCAGGCTCTGCGTTGACAGTGTGGAACCTGCGTGGGATTCTCTCTCCCTCTCTCTCGATAATAAACAAACTTAAAAAAAAAATACTCGACTAATCTGTTTATAGGTCTTCCTGTTACTAATCCTTTGGTTAGTGATTCCACAGAAAACGATAAAGAGCAGAGCTTTAAGGAGAGGTCTACGTTTTAATTTCTCATCCCGGTTGCCGTTTCTCAAAAGGATCGGTTTATAAAGTAATGTGCGCCTCACCTCACGTGGAGCTGCAGGCAGTTCTCTCCTAACAGCCGGACACACAACTCCCAGTCTTCGCCACTAACAAACTGTGAGTCTGAGTAAGTCACTAACCTTCAAGAGGAAAGACACAAACAAGAACTATTTCTATTCATGAGACAAAGACAAGGGACTCTCGAGGATCCTTCCTGAATGCCGGACTGAGTAATAACAACGGCCTCAAGAGGCGGCGAAGGGCACGAGTGGAGAGCAGCTCAGACCCCGGCAAGGACAAGGGCAGAAGCGGGAGCCGCGCGGGAACTGAGGCGGCGCGGGCAGGCGTGCGGTCCGCCCCGCCGCCCCGGCCGCCCCGCCGCGCTCGCGCGCACGTCCTCCCGCGGCGCCGTCCCGTTGCCACCGGCTCCGGGCACACGCCGTGCACGCGCACACGCCCTCCTCCTGCGGCCTCCGGAACGGGACGCCGTACGGCAGCGCCCGCTCCGCGCAGGGACTGAGCACGCGGGCTGCCCGACCTCTAGCGCCGACGGAGACGTCCCCATCCCGCCGTCCGACGGTGCGCGGACCTCCTCCTCACGCGCGGGCACCGCCCGCCCGCCGCACGGCGCCCCCGTCGGCCCTCGTCCGACCGTCCCGAGCTCACCTATCGCTCCCTCGTTCAGGCAGCACTGACCCCACAACAGGTCAGAGACCCGTTGGCTCGGGAAACTCCCCGACGCGAGTAGCGAGGAGAACGCAAGGCAAAAAAAAACCCTGGGAGGATGTGCACCGAGGCAGAAGGCGGTACTAGGCATGCGCGGGACCAGGCATGCGCAGAACCGGACAGTGCGAGCAGTCTGCGCTGAAAGCCTGACTACTGTTCCGTGCGTTCTGCAAGCGGAGGTTAGAGGTTGGCTGAGAGTGCAGCCTTCACCTAGCATCTGGGAAGTTTGAGGCGCTTGACATAGTTACCCAAGCAGTCAGAGCCCGCCTGGGACTCCCGAAAAGTTGCGGACTACAGCTGAGTTCTTTGTGCACGCAGCGTGCAATTTAAGACACACAGATGTCAGGTAAAGGAACTTCTTGTCGATTTCACTCTTTTAAATACTAGGAAACAGATATCATCAAACAATCAAAGAATTTTTTAAATAAAAAATAGTATCTGTCACCGTCAGCGATTCTCTCAGGAAGTAAAAAGCCAAGGGACGAGGGTGAGCTCAAGCAAGCTTGTTCTTCAAAATCATGAAAGCAATGAACGAAAATTTTAGGTAGATAAATCAGAAAATCGACAGTCCAAAAAAAAACTTCTTTATTCGTCTACATAATCCTATTCGTCTGTGACACTAAAATTACTTGAAGAAATGGAAATCGACCCTTTCATTGAAAGACAATATTCTGTGACAACTTTACACTAAGAATCTCAACCAACTTTTGTATACTTTTTTCTCTGATTTTTGTGTACTTTAATAGATATTTTACAAAAGCAGTCATAACTTCATCTGGAATAAATGAAAATATAAACTGACAATATTTCAAAAAGAAAACTTCCTAGGAAATATAACATGTATAGTATTGCTCCACTAAAAATAGTTTGGCATTTGTTCATGGAAACATGGCCATGATTACGAGTATTTTTTAAATGTAGTATAATAAATACAGCATTTCAAGGCAATGAGGAATGAATGGAATATTCCAAACAGCAAGTCATTCCCAACAATTTGAAATAAAATGTTATGTACATAGATCACACATGGTATAATTCATGTGGAATCAAGATTTGAAATGTATAAAATAAACCACTTAATAAAAAATAAAGATGATAAGCTATGATACCAAAAATACAAACCATAAATTTATTACCCGATACGTTTTATTATAAGAAATAACAAATAATTCCGCTCTATTTTAGGTTAAAAGAAAATAAGCCAGTAAATTATATTTTTACTGTCTCAAAGAAAAGATACATTAATTAATAAAGAGATCTTTAAGTCAACAGAAAGTTAAAACAGGCTACCTAACTAATCACTCATGTTAAAAAAGACAATGATAATGAGTGACAAATGTATATAAGAGTCCATTATGAGAACTGAAAAGAATGCAAATGTTTAAGTAAAAACATGTAATTTATCATTTATTGAGATAAAATTTTTCATTGAATTTCATTATGCAGAAGTTCACACTGGTGTAGTTTCAGGAATTTTGACAAAATGCATAGATCTGTGTAACATCACCACAGTCAAAATTCAAACTATTTCATCACAGCCCTCAAATTCCTTCATGCTACTCTTTTGAAGTCAAAGTTCCTTACTGCTCTATTCTCTGGCAACTACTATCTATTCTTCATGCCTATAGGCTTGCCTTTTCTGGAAAGTCACATACATATAGAATTTTACAGTATGTAATATTATGAGTCAGACATCTTTTACTTAGTACAATATATTTAAGAATCATCTATGTTATTTTATGTATCAATATACTTGTTGGTTTTTTATTTTCTAGTCCTTGGGGTCCCTGAGTGGCTCAGTTGGTTAAGCGTTCGACTTTGGCTCAGGTCATGATCTCATGTGAGAGAGATCAGTCCTCTCTCTCTCTCTCTTCTCTCTCTCTTTCAAAAATAAACAAACATTTATTTCCCAAGTCCTATTCCATGGTATGGATTTACCACACCTCACTTCTCTATTCCCCAGTCAAGTGGCTTTAATTTCCAGTTTGGGGAAATTATGAATAAATAAAATACCATTTTTAAATATAAGCCTCCAGCATCACGTCCTTGTACAGCATCCTCTGAGCAGGGGCCAGGTGATGCCACTCCTCCTGAGTGAAGCCCACAGTCACATCCACAAATGACAATAATCCCTGAAAAAGTACATTTCTGCCCAGTCTGAAGTAGTCAGAATCAAGAAATATGAAAAAAAAGATGTTCAAAGACCAATTCTTGCCATTTTTTTACTGTGGAAAACTGACCAAAAAATGTTACTAACCTCTACTATATAGCTTGTTTTGTATTATCCTCTGCAAATAAAAAAGATCAGAGTAGAAATACCACTGAAGAATCAATTTATTATTTAATGCAAAAATTCTGAGCGTACACGTACTTGGGACTGCCCTAGTTTCGGAGAATTCCAAGTGCAATAAAATACTCTTCCCAGTATCAGAGAAGTTATTCTCATAAGGAAACAGGCAAAGATATACCTGCCATAGGACTTAACGAATCCACACCTAAGAAGACACCAAGTTTATATATCAGGCTGATCCTTGGCACAACAACAGTCTACAACCATCAAACCACAAATAAGTAAAAAGAAACAAAACAGTAAGAAAATACAGCAAACACTGCAGATTGGGGAGAATCTAGGGGAGAGGTTAAAGCATATTGGTGGAGCACAGAAACAAAAAAGACATAATTGAAAAGAGTGAGAATAACAGTCTCACTATACCCTCATCACTCCTCCCCAAAACCCACACAGTGTAGCACCAAACGAGATCCTATCAGTCCATAAGTTCTCCTGTAGGAAAAAAGAGAGCAAAGTGAGGATCCAAGTTCATTGTAGAGACAGCGCTGGGCCCATTCGCCCCCAGACCCAGCCAACCAGTCCACCCAGGATTTCTGGTCATGCTGACTTGTATAGGGCTTTCACTGATGATGCAAATCTGTAATGACTGGAAAAAGTAACCACTTCTTTAAATGTACCCACACCAACACAAGGCTCTAAG